CGCTCTGGGGTGGGTTTATTGAGTATCGGTTCGGGTGGAAGAATATGTCCTGGACGTTGGCCTTATTGGCCGGACTGACTGCTATTCCGATGTTGTGGCTAAGTGATGGGGGTGAGAAGGTGAGGGAAGATGAGGAGGAGAGGGAGAGATTGGTAAGTGGAGAGGATTCGTAGGGTTTCTCTTCTTCTTGGTTTGGTTTGGGGGGTATTAATACTTTTGTAATATTATGCATGGTATGTTACTTGGGGATTTTAGCTCTGGATGTACTCCGTAGAATGACCTAGATACTAACTAAATTCAAGTTGGTACTCTACTACAGGGTCCAGTATGGATAGGTACTAGTACCTTCAAGACTTGCAGGAGAGAGAGTCTGAACAATACCCTATCTCCTAATCTATACAACATATGTTTGAACATACACTCAACACATCAACAACAAATATACAATACTCTTCTTTAATACTACTAACACAGTAAACCCTCCAAAAGAAACCCTAGAGAGATCTATCTATCCACAGACCCCCAAAATGAATCCTCTACACAAACCAAGAGTGAATCTTCTATCAATGCAGTCCGTCTATATATATACACTAACATTAAACTAGTACATAGTACCTTTGTATGATGCAAGCCCAATGCCAATTGCAACAACCTTCAATCTAAAGCCAACCCACACCATGAAAACCAATCTAAAGCCAACCAAAACCCATACATACTCCCATACTTCCCCATCCCAGAAACAAGGGTAAACAATCCGTCCAACAATACCCATCCTACATCACATACAAACCACCACCCCAAAACCCAACCTACCACCTACAGGAACTTGGACTTTGAATGTAGCAGTGTGGAACTGGGAGTGGATGAATGGTCAATTACGGAGAACTCTGCCAGACTTGCCGAGAACAAGCGGGCCCGAGTCATCGACTCAGTCCGATGTATATCCCTCGCTGGTTGTTGGTGGGGGGGGAGGGGCCTTGGATCAGCGGTCCGGGTAGAATTGGGGGAATTGAAGTTGGCGGGGTTCCTGGCTATATGGAGAGTTGTATTCTCTGTGCCGTGCGGAATCCAGGTTTAATGAAGGGTGAGGTGGAGGGAGAGTTGGGGGGCGGTTAACTGGGTGTGGAGGAGGGGATTTGGTTTCTTGGATAGAGGGGGATTGGTTATCCATTGATTATCATGTTGATGGGGCGGTGAGGTTTATCGGGCCTGGTGTGGTGTTTGTGTTGAGGCCGTGTTCGTGGATGATGGGTTGGGGGAGTGTATAAAATGAGGTTTATGAGATATGTGAGATGTTGAGTTGGGAGAGGGGTGCTCGGCTGAGTGTGGTGATGATAGGGGTGCACTATGTTAACTTCTACTTTGTGAAGGGTGGTGAGGAGGGTTCAGATCAATTCGTTGCCGCGAATGGGAGGCGTTGGTATATGTGTTTTATTGTCTTACGGGGTTGTACCTGACGTCGTGGTTGTTGAACAGTTCTACCATCGCCTGTTCCGGGTTCACTATTGTGTTTGAAAGATGATGGCGCATGCGATTTGTGGGATTGGCAGGGCAGAGCTCTCGGCAGGAGGTATGTATCGAATTAATGGTAAAACGAGTTCAAGAGCGTAATATAAGAAGTACCAATCCCCCCCCTTGGCGCAGGAAACAGATCAGTAAATCCACATTCTAATCCTCGACATTTTATCGTATAAAACACTGGTCCATCCTCAACCGGACATCGCACAAGGTTGAAGGCCAAATCCCAAGACTTCATGTACACGTTAGTCCAAAGTATATCATCATATAGTCCAACCCGAGAAAGACAAAGGAGAGAAGAAAAAAAAAAGTAAAGATCCCCGGGGTAAGACGTTTTCAGTTTCCAGCCCATCCAAAACCCAAACGCCGTTCATGTGCAAACCCAACGCCAAGCGAACATTTTGATACCGTAGACGTCGTTCCAAGATCTGTATACGAAAAAAGAGGCTAAAGAGAGATCAATCACAAGCTCAGCTGGTCGATACTTCCCACTCGACCGCTCCCACCTAATCGGCCACCGCCCTTCGTCACCATCCCTAATCGATAGAAACGCTCCTCTCCGCCGGGCGTCCTCCCGCCAATGTACCACTTCTCCGGCCCGAGAGCGTCTCGGAACCCGCCCGATCCGTTGGAGCTGTCGCTCCCGCGTCGTTGGCGGTCCGGCCCATTGGCAATCGGAATAGGGTTGGATGAAGCCGGGGTTGGCGGGGACGAGGGAGCGGGAGGAGTGGCGGCGGACGAGGGCACCGGGGAGTCCCCGGCGGGAGACGATTGATTCAGTGGGGATCGGGTATGTGAGTGGGGTCGGGAGTGGGAAGTGGCGGCTGAAGATGAGTGGTGATGATGATGATGATGATAATGAGTCGTCGAGGCGGCCTCGGAGGATGCCCCTGAGTTGCTTGCCTTGGTTGCTATCGCGCGGGCACTCTGTGATATCTGAGTCGGCGAGAGAGACGAGGAGGTGGCTGTGGCCGACTGAGAACCAGCGGCCGCGGCCTTATACGTTGACTGGGCGCGGAACGCCGCCAAAAAGTTGGCCAGGAATGGACGGTTGGTGGACATCGTGACGAAGACCAGTCTTACGGAGCAGATCGTTATAGCATGAATCAGAGGCTGGGCAATGGTGTCGCAGTCAGATTGACCACGAACGTCGAGTGCAGTTGTATTTGTATCTGGAGCCAAGAAGGGTTCCCCGCGGCAACGACAGGGCCCCTCGAGATATAGATAGAACGTGAGTGGAGGTCGGCACAAGGGAAAGCGTTAGCGGCAATCATCCGAATACCGGCGAGGGGTCACTAAGTAACGGTCAAGATCCCAACTGAGACGAACATAACACTCAAGTACCCCTGGGACACAAGCACGGTGGATAGTAGCGCGATGACGATCGACGAGTCGGCGGCGAGGGATTTGAGAAGGAGGAGGACGAAAGAAAATAGGATGCCAAACTTTGAGGCACGGATTCAATCCAATCGATTTCTCCGAGGCATCCCGTGGTCGGGGAGCCAATCAGTGGAGACGCATATAAAGAAACTCAGTGGTGACGTCTTGCTCTTCTCTTGTTTTCCGGTTTTTGGCTTTTCTGCTGCTTCACTGCTGTATGGCATACAGATGGTAAGTTCGTAGATTAGTTGACTCCTCTCAGACCGTCGTAATCATTAGTCACTGGAATCAGCACAAACCCCCCTTTCGTACGAATCGGATACTCCAAATTCACTGTGCCGCGGAGGGGAAGTTCAGAAGAAACGTGGGGTTGACTTGGTGGGCATCTGACAATGCGTCCCTCCGTAGTCTGGAACTGCTAGTGTTATCCATAGGGTATTCTCGGGTTCCACTGCCATCCGGGCAAATGGGTCTTGAAGTCACTGGACCGGGAAGCGCATCCTTTATCAAGCCTTCATCACGGGATCCAGTGACGACCTCGCGGAATACTACGACTCGCCAGTCGTCAGTAGTAGTAGTACCCGGGTGGCATGATGGTCCCATTATCCAGATATTACTCAGATTGTTATTACTCTGATTATTCTGATGATGATTATGGAACAAATTTGAGTTGATCTGTATTTTCATTCTTTTTTAATTCCCTCATTATCCCTTTTGGCTTCGAGAATCTAATCCGATCGGAGTCTATATTCTAATTTTGGATTCCCTTGGCGCTTTTTCTGTAATTCCACCCAAATGTTTTCTCCATCCAGCCTGGCCGACAGAGACGAGTGGCCTCGCTCCCAACCCAGGACCTGCCCTAAACCCCCGCCAGAGAAAAGGAAACGAGACACAATGCAACCAAATAGACACAAGCAAGACAACCCACGTATAACACATCATGGGGGGCTGACCAGGGGCATGCCCCAACGCACATCGACAAACGCTCACCGACCAGGCTCTCCAACACTGTAGGAGGCGTAGGAGCCTTTGCCAACGTCCCGCCGGCAACCCAGCCGCGACACGTATGAAGAAACAGATGGCTACCTTTTCACACAATTCGAGCAGAGATGGAGGATAGCAGACACAAAATGACAAACACCAGAACACAGTAAAAAGACAGAAAAAAAAAGAAACTCAACATAGATGAACAAAAACACCTCAGTCCAGCTCAAGTTCATATGTCCGAGCAGAACACCTCGAATGTACTTACACGGTTGGTCGGGGGAACGACATGCGAATCGAATCAGAACGGTTGAGAGGTCTATGCAGAACAAACCCGAACACGGCTGCTCGGGGGTCGACCAGTAATGAAACAGGACACAATGCGAATCGCAACGAAGAGTCGACAGAGGCCATCCCACACGAAATCTTTTAGGGCACATTGCAAGAAAATGATGCAAAGCTGAACAGGAACACAAACGCAAGAAAACACATGCCCAGGTCTATTTGTCGGACGCCGGATAAAAGCCACACTCCATCCCATCTGCCCACTCATAATGGATGGAAAGAAACAAAACTGAACCAGGACCACCACAAGATTGCACTCGCCGTATAAAAATGCTGACACAATTTTGAAACCCAACAACCAGACACAGGTGACCGTTTTTCGTAAAGATAAGATAAAATTTGTTATGGAAGTCGAAGGCGATCGGGTGAGCAACGCTGGACGTTTGCGACAAAGCCCACACTCTTCAGATAGTACTTAATTCTCGGTCGCGGCGATATTGCAGTCAAAGCGCACCTGCACAGCCGAGGCCGAAACGGTGAAACGACGCAGATTTCATATAGTGACTCGTAGATCCCTATTAGAACAATCGAGGCGCCTATGTTCAGCAAGCTAGACTCATTGAAATAGTTCAGAAGCCTAGTAGTTTTTCCGACCAAAGAAAAGTTTGACTATACAAAGCCCCATCGTGATTTGCACGAACAATGTCCGAAATCAACAACGCAGTCGACCGTCACGCATTCGTTTCATTTCGCCACTATTGCCTCGCGGGCTGAACGGTACCTAGGATCGTTGTGTAAGCCAAAGACGTCCTGATCGACCCGGAAGATCATATTTAGGATTCAAGCGACTTACCATCACCGGCCAAAGTGGTCGAAGCCAAGTAAAGACCATTCATGCCACCTTCTTGGGGACCACCGGTCGTGGTAGGATAGAATTTCCGTTCGGTATCGACGTGAGCATGGATCGGCTCCTGGCCAGATGCCATGGATTGGGGGAAAACGGGGTTGATGTAACCATCATTCGCTCCGGGCTGAAACATCGAAGTCCAGTCAATTTCGCCAGTGTGATTGGGAGTGGGCCCAGGCATTACTGGGCGCTTAGGGTCTTGGACCACCGGGGGTTTTACCTGTTCATAGGAAGGACGGTCAACACTCAGCTGCTGAGATACATCAGGGCCAGGTTGCGCCAGATACGGGTTCTGCTTGGGAGCCGCCAGCCAGGGGCCTCTCTGATGTGGCTGACCAGCGGGGAACGCGTCGTCCGGTTGACCACGGTTCATCCCATTGACCGACGACATCGAAAAGCCCAGAGGCTGCTGATCCGTGAACCCAGGTCGGCCTGAAGCCAGCCCGTTACCGTTCACGGCCCCCTCGCCGTAAGCCGTACCCGGAAGGGCAGTGGCAGGAGGGACGGTACTACTGACTTCATCCTGAACCGGTTTAGCAGGATTCGCAGCTTGAGACCTCTTCAAATGTGCCTGGGGATGCGACAAGTGGGTCGCTCCCGTCGGGTTACCGCGTCGCAACGAACACTTCTGGAAGTGGCGCTTCAGAATATCACTACGGGAGAAAGTGTCCTTGCACAGAACACACATGTATGGGCGGTCACCGGTATCTGCGCGAAAAAGCAAAGTTTTGTCAGCGAAATTAAGAACTTTCGGCGCACTTCACGTCAACTCCGAGATAGGGACTAGGAAACTCACGTCTGAGCAAATGGCGCTTCAAATGTTTGGCGTGGAGATAGGTCTTGTTGCAGTGCGGGCAAGGGAATTTTCCATCGGCATCCTTGGCCGGGATTGTGGTGTTCTTCGCTGTACCATTGACACCGTTGGTGACTGGCGTGGCGCGTCCCGGGACGCTCGGGAGGATTCCGCGTCGGCCTTGAGAGCCAACCACCTGGGTGCGAGGGGGCTCCTTTGCACCGTAGGGCGAGGCACCGTTTGCGCCCGCAACAGGATCCGGGTTCATCCAGGGAGAACCCTTGCCATCGGAGTAGCTGAAAGCACCGGAAGGCATGCCAGAATAGTCCGGCCGCCGGTCCCGCGGGGGTGCCGCGCGATCGGCTGCGGATATGTCTGCGCGCTCGAGGCAGGAGGCAGCACGCTGTGAGGTGGAGGATATTGCGAAGGCTGGGGCTGCGCCTGCGGATTGGGGTGGGAGAGGAACGAAGATGGAGGCAGGCTACCCACGGTGGTGTGAGGCATGATAGGAGCGGTCGACGACGCGTAAACATCGTGAGTAGAGGTGGGAAACCTCGACAAATCCGCCTGTACGGCGGCTGGCCCATGTAGGAGTGAGGGGCAGGAGATTGACTGTGATGAGGCTGCAGCGGGGGGAGAGTATGAGGCTGGGACACGGGGTACTGAGGCTGCATCGTGTACTGAGGCATTGGCATACTCATAGTAGTCGGGAGAGGCGTGGAGCCTTGGGGTAAGCTGGTGGATGGGGGCCGCGACGGATGAGATCTGGGATCCATCATGAAGCGGAGAGGATATCAGATGGAGGGGAAGAAAAGGGTTGGACTGGAGGTAGAGTTCACGGTATCCCGATCATCGATTGAAGAACGAGAAAAACCTTTTCGCCGGCTGGTCTTTTGACGAACAGGCAAGCGTGATACGTGTGCTCTCGACTGCCAATTCCGACTGCAAACGAGAAACGGATCACTTTCTGCAGAGTTTTTCCTCCTGAAGGTCTTTTCTCTATCCTCACTGAGACTTTTTTTTCTTTTGCTTTTCCTCTTCCGGCGGAATGAATCCTCCACTTAACGCGGTGATAGGACGGGAATATGGAGACGTCGGGAGGGTAAATTCGATCGGACAATCAATTCCTCAACCAGCAAACGCTCAAGGATCCTTGCAGTCGATGATGGGGGCGTACAGGAACAAGTGCGACTCCACTGCAGAAAAGAAGTCAGGATGAGGTCGAGATGCTTAATCGTGAATTCCCCACGGTCACCCACCAGGAAAATCGAGTTGTGTGGGAACTTCTTTTTATCCGCACGTTGTCAACAGTCAATGGTTCTGATCCACCAGCGAGGCGGCGTGTATGTGGGTCTAACAACAACCAGCAGTGCTTAGAAGGAAAAAAAAAAAGCAGCTAGTGCTTCGCGTCAACAATGCGCGAAAGGGACCAGGATTTTCAGAAAGATACAAAATTTTAAAATCAAATGAAAACTGTCAGGAACAGTGCAGTTACAGGTGCGGAGTCCACAACAAGTATGAAAAGGAAGAAGAAAGGGGGGCGAAGGGGGAAAAAGAAAAAAGAACTGATAGAATAGT